TCCCGCAGTCGTCGCAGAAGGATACCATGGTCAATGGTATCGAAAGCCGCTGAGAGGTCAAGGAGGACCAGGTGTAGACCAGAGGTCTCCAACCATGAAGAGCCCTGGTATAGACTCTTGCTCGTGCAGGGAATCAGACTAGATGACCTCCAAGATCCCTTCCAACACTTCTATTTTATTCTATTTCATTCCATTCTATTACAAAAGACTCATATTCAGAACAAAGATGCACTTTAGTCTTACCCCTTCTTCATTGGCTGCCTCTCTGTTCCTTCCTTCTTCTTCTGAGGCTCAGATGATTTTTCACCTTCCAGGAATTCCAGCTTGTCCAAGAGACCTTACATGAAAGGAGAAGGAATAAGTGGCTACAGCCTTCTGGCACTCTTAACCCTTGGATCCCAAAGTTCTGTAATACTTTATGTATATCGAACTGAATTTAAAGAAAGTCATAAAGAAGTGTTTAATTTTATAAAGTCCCAAAAACATCGAATCACTGACTACCAAATAACATAACATTGGGTTTGTTGAATCTACAGTGATCTTACTGGATTCCCAAATCTATCAACCCAAAAATAGATAAGACCGAATTTTGAGGTAGAGCATCTCTGAATCTGGTACTTTGTTTTAAGTTCATAAGCTGATTATTCACAAAATAGCCACTCTCCTGTCCTCAAATTTTCTGTTGTCTATATGAAAAGGTCAGCTATTAAACAAAGTTTACAGAGCCACTGAAATCTCTCGGTGGCTACAATCCACATTCTACTCTTTCTTTTTTGTAGTGAATTAATAGAATGGAGAAAAGTAGGCAAAAGAGAAAGTCTGCAGAAAATCAGAAGTAAAAAAAAAAAAACTGAACAGAAGCAGGAGACCATAGCTGACATTTAATGGAGGATCCCTTATCAGTTAACATAGGTGCTAATTGTTCAGTTGTAAATATAAAACTGTTACCAACGTATTGTTGGTTCGATGATTCAGTCATAGAAGACTATTTACTGGCACAACAAGCCTTTATTAGGCAGCTGATGCTGAGACTCATGTTTTCTTGTTATCACATCTTCTTACTCCTTTTCTAAAATTGAGAGGTGGGAAGGAAGTGACTCACCCTTCTGATATTTTTTGACTGCATTCAACATTGTGGACTTCTCTTTCTGTCTTTTCTGCAACACGTCAATTTGAACCTATTAACAAGAAATCAAACATGAACCTTGCTCTCCCTTGTACCTGAACTTTTCCAAAATGTTCCAATTTTATGCATCTGCAGATACATATGGTTCTCATTCAGCTTCTGAGGAATCCTGTCTGTTGACTGAAAACCTTCCAAGCAAAACAGTTTGAATGAATTGAAATGATTTTTGTCATCCAATTGCAAGTTACCTGTTTGCCATATTTTCTTAGGGCACGGAGTTGTTTAGCCTTTTCAGACTTTTCCATGGCTTCTTTTTTGCTCTTCAGCTTTTCACGAATCTAATGTAAAAGAATATGGTTTTTGTTGGGTTTTTTTAGCAGATGGATGCATACTCCTACTATTTAGACATGACAAAGACTTTCAGCTTTTTGTAACAATGCTACAGCATTTTAAATATGTTATTAAATTCTATCATTACCATATTTTTCAGAGTATAAGATGCAGAAATGTTTGGAAGAGGCAAATTTAAAAAAAGTAGGTAAGTAGAGGGATAGAGAGAGAAATACAGTAGGTAGGTAGGGAAAGAGAGAAATAGAAATACGGTAAGTAGGTAGGGAGAGCAATAGAGAAATACAGTAGGTAGGTAGGGAGAGAGAGAGTAGTTAGATAGGTAACTACTATCTACTATCTAACTACCTAAGTAGGTAGGGAGAGAGAGAGGTAGGTACATAGGTAGAGGGGGGTTGAGAGAGAAATATAGTAGGTAGTTAGGGAGAGTGAGTGAGTAGGGAGAGAGAGAGAGAGAGAGAGAGAAATACAGTAGGTAGGGAGAGGGAGAGAGTAGGTAGGTAGGTAGATGTTTTCAGGTCTATTTATCCAAGTGCTGGAAAAAGAAATTGCTGACAATCTGCAGCATCTAAGACTTCATTTCTGCTGGCACAGCACTTGATCAATGTAATTCTCATCAATCACTCTAACCAAAGAGCTCCCCAAGAGGAAAAAAAAAGTTTTGCACTCTGTAAACCTCCCAAAAACGGCCCATTTTTCGTGAAAATGGTCCCCTTTTTTTCTTAAAAAAAGAGGCATGAATAGCCTGGGGGGGGGGCTTGCAGAGTGCTCCTGGGGGTGGGGGAAAACGAGCAAAAAATGGCCCATTTTTTGTGAAAACAGGCCTGTTTTTTGTCAAGAAAATTGCATGCATAGCCTTATAGAGGCTTAGAGTGCTCCCGGTGACTGGGGGGCAAAATTGAGCAAAAAATGGCCAGTTTCTTGCTCATTTCTGCCCTCCCTAGGCCCAGGAGCTCTCTGAAAGCTTCCTACAAGCTGTGCACAGCCATTTTGGTTAAGGGGCGGGGCTTCGGGAGGCAAAGAATGCTGTATTTGATGCATAAGACGCACCTAGATTTTCAGCCTCTTTTTTTGAGGGGAAAAGATGTGTCTTATACTCCGAAAAATATAATACTTTCCTTCTTATTTGGATCTATTCTGACAAGGTTCACTAGCATTTCACATTAGACAAGATAGCCATGTCAGAATACATATCCAACCATAACACATAATAATCAAAGCAAAAAAGCACACACACATACACACACACACACACACACACACAATAGAAAGATAAGTAGAAGATTAAAAGCTATGGAATAAATAAAAGACCAAAAGGTACAATATTAATTTCAATTTTGTTACTAAAGAGGATTCAGCATTAAATGGTAACTACCGGTATATATAATTCCATAGAAGTAAATAAAATTTGATAACTTATTCTGTATGTTGTAAAAAAGAATTTAGAGAAGTAGAAATATTATTCCAATTGTAAATTCCTGTTCATATTCTGTGCTAAAAGAATAAGCAGTTTATCTCAAAATAACTAAACAGCACATATCTATGTCCTATTTGTCCCTTATTTTTATCATGAATGAGTAAAGGAAGAGCACTGCAGGGTAACAAGGTAATAGGCCCTTCTATATTACAGGACTTTTAGCTGCATAAGTTTTACTACAGTATATAACTTTGACTATTAATTATGTGAAGATTAAGAGGCTTAATGTTACTCTAATCAATTATGTAAACATATCACATTCATTCCCATTTCTACATTCCTGTGCAAGCTTTGAAACCAGCATCTTCAAAATTCTAGAACAAATGTGACACAAGTTTCTCTCCAACAGAGCCACACTCAATAATGACAGCTAGAAGAGGTGTGAAATTGAATCTTTAAATCTTACTTTTTGCATCTGCTGATCAGATTTTGCCATCTCTGCAAAATAATCATCAGGCCGCCTTGTGGGGATTTTAAACTGATGTAATCGAGGTAATGCTTCCAGAACAGAGGCTTGGGCTTGATGATAACTGGGGAAATCAGAACCAACATTACTATTTCTAATCAGTGGCTAAATATTCCAAAGATTCAGGATTTTTGACCTATTAAACATATACTTCACTGAAATAAAAACTATCTAGTCTAGCTGCCTTTCATTACTGCTATGGAGGCACTCAAGAGGTAAGCTTTTTAATATGCATTTTCAAATAACTGCAGCTATACAAATAGTGTCAATATGCTAATAAATTGTTACATGTGTGCAGTGGGAAGTAAAATAACATTATTAACATTATAGCAACATATAGCTTATACATAGTGTGGTGAACCACTTAACATACATTATTAAGCTATATTACTTTTGTTTCTTATATGAGAATCTATTCATAGTAGATTAGTACCCTATGTAGACCTGTCTTAGCACTTCATGTGAACTTAAGACTGTACCACCTATTGTGCACAAGAATGAAACAAAGGCTGCATATCAGACTCACAGCATAATAGAAACTTTTGCCTCATATACTAAGACTTACAAGCTCATTTCTCTTTTAAAGTCATCTTCAGGGTCAACAGAATCCTTTTCAGCTATGTTCTTAGAAGCTGCACCCGTGACATTTGTTTGCAGTGGTGAAGTAATATCAAGCCTTTCGACCCAGGACAGGTTTTTTTGGAATTCAGACAAGCATCGTTTCAATCCATCCTAGGGAGATCATATTAATTCTACATTACCTCAATGCTTAGATGTTTCTCCATATCAGTTAATATATATTATCCAAACTATCATTCAGAATAGTTGCAGATGACATTCATTTTAAAGCAAACAAGAAGATTTTGCACTAACACACCAATTTCTCTCAAAAAGCCAGATTCCAGTTACATGCTCATCAGACAAAATGTGCAATATTTAAAAATTCTAGTCAATGAATGTCAGGTATTCTGGGTTTAAGATCTTCCTAACAAAGATCCACACAGAAAACTTAGTGTTTTGTTACACTGGCAGCATAAATCAAAGCTGCTCCACAAGTCTATCCTCATATTACATTCATATTACGGCAGAATACATTCATAATATACCAAACTGTAAACACTGTACCTTTAGAAACGGAGAGTTTTACTTCCCAACATTTCTAGTTTTTTTTCAAAAACCAAGGAACTAAAGCTTTTAATCAATCAACGACACCTAATATAAAAGGTTGGACCCACTGAGCTGTCAGATAAATAGACCAAACCTTTGAATGCTTGGTGTTGAATTTAGAATTCCAACTCACTGTACTAAAAGGCTGATGTTTAAAAATGTGAGGTAAACATTGAGTTGTTCAAAAACAACCAAAAAAGTTCAAACAATTGATATCACAATACTTACCACATTATTAAAGGCTTTCGGTTGTCCCTCCAACACAACATTTAAGCCCGGTTTCAATGAACCTTTAGCAAATGCTTCCTGAAGCTACATTGAAAAGAGGTAGTATTTATATTAACACATTAAAAATTAATGTATACAAATATAAAACTGATCCCACTGATAATAGAAGTGAGCATGTGACATCCGAGCACAGAAATGAGCATACAAGGGAAAATAATAATCAGGTCAGTGATTTCCAAGCTACAGCATTTATCCTGATGCCACAGGAGCACTTCTGGTTTAGATCAGATACTGCTATGGATTACACTGTGCAATTAATTCTTAAGTGTGGCACAGTAACTAATGCTGTCATTAATCCAGTTAATATGCAAACATAAACTCACTATACTTAACCTTAACTGTTTTAATTATTACTAAGGTAATATAGCTCATCAAATGACAACAATTAGCCAACCTTGTCTGGCCTCAGCCCCTAAAAAGGATAAGTTACAGGGAGGCAATCAAGAAATGCTATGGTTGCAGGTACATTCCTGCAGAAAGACAATGGCAAACCACTTCTATATCCATTCATGGTTGAATTTATCTAGTCATCACAGGTTAAGTTCAAATCAAGAATATCATTATCTTAATACAATACAGCAAGTCACGATAATACAAAAATTGGAAATATGTGCATAGTTACATCACAACACAATTACAGCCCCTTATGCACAATACTTGCATATCAATGTCTAATTGTCAGTTATCTCCCTTACAGATATCCCAAAGGTGCTTTTTCAGGAGGGTACTGGACTTTCTTGTTTTTTCTTTGAAGATGTTTTGCTTCTCATCCAAGAAGCTTCTTCAGCTCTGACTGGATAGTAGGGAATGGAAGGATTTATATTCTTTACAGACACCTTAGTCATTTGCATCCTTTTAGAGGGTCTTTGAAGCACTCTGACAAATAAACCTCCAAGTGCTTCAATGACCCTCTAAAAGGATGCAAATGACCAGCTGTCTGCAAGGAATATAAACCCTTCTATTCCCCATCATCCAGTCAGAGCTGAAGAAGCTTCTTGGATAAAAGTGAAACATCTTCAAAGAAAAAACAAGAAAGTCCAGTTGCTGCCTGAAAATGGTTTTCTTTTGGAATGACCATGACTGGATGACTGGGAATCTCAATAGACTCTTCCTTACAGATATTTCTACCTTTATAATAATCATGTTTTGAATATTTGAAACACCTTATATAAATATTAAATAGCATTATTTTAGGTATTTAAATAAGTGCATGTCTCTGATTAATGCAGCTACAAGTAATCTAAAGCAGCTATAAATCTTAAGATTATTGAAATTTTGTATAATTGTCAATTTAAAACAGAATAACAGAGTTGGAAGGGACCTTGGAGATTTTCTATTCCAACCCCCTGCTCAGGCAGGAAATCCTATACCATTTTAGGCAAATGGTTGTCCAATCTCTTTTTAAAAACCTCCAAAGCACTGCTCCATACCAGCCTATGCATTTATCAATCCATACAAGATCATTTAAAATTCAGCTTAAATATTAGTTTCATTCCTATAGTTTAAACAGTACTAGAATATTGGCGCATATCTCATGTGCCAAACATACCTCTTGATCTGCTAGAACAGATTCTTCAGAATCAGAGGATAATGACAATTCTTGCTCCATGGCTATGGGCGGCATGTTAGACTGCTTTTTGAGATGTTTGGATTTTGCCTCCAAGCTGTGTCAAAACCAAGAAAATATATTGCAAATGCAAAGCCATGGAACAAATTCAGAATTGGACTGCTAACTTCATCCTTCTCTCAGCAAGGCACATACAATATTAATTAATGAGGTTTTCCCTATCCATACTTAAAGTCTACTAAATTAGGAGCTATTATGCATCAATGTTGAAAATACCTGTATACATGAAAAACAACATGAATGTCAATTTCAATTTAACCTGGAAAGTCTTTTTCAAATACAATTCTTTACATGAACTGCTACCACATTTGAAACCTGGACTATTTTAACTATGATTTTGTTTTATCAAACAGATCTCTCATCTAATCTAAAACCTGATTTAATCGTTAAAATAAGTTTTGAAAAGTACTAAACTATCATGACGTTCGTGTGTGTGTGTGTGTGTGTGTATACATACATACATACATACATACATACATACATTAATCCAAGCCTCTATATAAGGAAATTCTCCTCCCCTTGAACAAGTTGCTTTTATTTTAAATGCAAAGATATTCCATGTAACATTGGTATTTTGTAATTTCCATTTTTGTTTGCTTTTAAAATAAACAAAATATAAAACACGATAAGCTACAGCCTATTGAATGTCCAGTTAGCCCCCTCTCTCCAATTATTAATTTTGCATTAAACCGAATCTAAAATTCTTTCCAGACTTCTATTCTTTGGAATCCACTCCATAAACTATCTGCTTAAGAAATTCAATGCGGTCCCCAATTTAGATTAGCAATGATCGATGCTTTTATGTCTGTGAGCTTTAGATGTTTCTAAAGGCGTCCTACTCACTTTGATCAACCGGTCCCCGGTTTAATTCAACTGAGCCCGAAAACTCTTTCAGCCATCCACCTTCTCGTTCACCACGAGGAATTGCTTTTAAAAAAAGGGACTTCCGCTTTCCGTGGCTGTTCCATCTACTTCCGGTTCCGCTCCGCCAAATTGTTAGCCTTGTCGTGGGGACGCTGTCGCCATGGCAACCCCTTCTCTTCCCTCGCATTTAGCCTTAGGGACGCATCTTCTTCATATTCTTTTAGCGGGCGGGGCTGAGGCCAGTCCTGCTGCGGTCCTAAGGGAAAATTCTGGGCAGTTAATAGCAATTTTTGAAAACGGATCGGAGCGAGCAACGAACCGAAGGAGCGAGACCGCCGAGAGTAGCCGAAGAGCCCCGTCCCGGGGAGACTATCCGTGAAGGGAAAGACCCCCTCCACCTAATAAATCCTCTCCCGTTTGTCTCTCCTCTTTCTCACGCAGCCTTCTGAATTCAGTCGCGATGTCAGTGATTGTGGCTCAGGCTCTCCACATCTTTGGATTCCAGTCCCGAGTAGCAAATAATATTTGCTTTTTTGATGAGCAGATAATAGTCTACCCCGCGGGAAATAGCTGTGTGAAATACCACATAGAACAGAAATGGCAGAAGTTCATCCCAGGTAAATTAGCTCCCCCCCCCTTTCCCCCCTCAATCATTTCGGATTCCGATACAAGAAGAGGAAACCCAAAAGTGCTTTTTCAAGAGGCAACTGTCCTTTCTTTGAAGACATTTTTTGCTTCTCATCCAAGAAGCTTCATCAGCTCTGAAGGGGAAAGTTGGCATCCTCTCTACACCCTTGAAACTGTTTCCTTTGACTTTAATACTCTTACAAAGAGATAATGGTTCTTATATATTATTGTTCATTGTTTTTCTCTCTTAATTTGCAGGATTTAAATACAGGTGGTTCTCAATGTACAACAGTTTGTGGCACTGAACAATGTGATTAATGACTATTTTTCACAGTTATGACCTTTGCAGTGTCCCCATGATCGTGTGATCAAAATTCAGATACTTGACAACTGGTTCATATTTATGACCGTTGTGTCACCTTTTGCAAACTTCTGACAAGCAAAGTCGATGGGGAAAACAGATACATTTAGCAACCTGGTAACTTAACTTATCAGCTGCAGTGATTCACTTAATAACTATAGGCAAGAAAGATCATAAAATGGGACAAAACTCACTTAAATCTCCCATTTAACAATTGGGCTCAATTGTGGTCATAAGTCAGGGACCACTATAAGCTCATAAACTAACAAATTTGAAAACTTTAAAATTATGTATGGTGTTAAGTCCAATGTTAATTGGGCTGAGAAAAAGGGACTGACCTTAAGTCACCAGTGAGCTTCCATGGACGAGAATAGATTACAACATGAGTTTCCAACATCATAATTCAACACATTAATCATACTGGCTCTCATAAGTAGCATCTTGAGATAACATTTTGAAGGGAAGAGAGCTATTTTACATTATTCATTCTTTCCAAATGTGAGATACAAAGTTTTCACTGTTCTGTTCTTTTATCATCAGTGCTGATAAACAAAATACAGTCACCTCTTTGTCTTTTACAATATACTTTACAAGTTAAACAAAAATATAGGCAATATGAACTTCCAGTTTACTTATTAATGTTTATCAAGTTTTGGCTTTTCTTTAATGTACTCAGGATTGGATGCTTTTGCTTTTGTTTATCTCCTGTTTACTATTACAGATGAATAATTGTTTATTGGAAATAGTTACATTCTTAAATGTAAAATTAAACTAGCCATAGTTGGTGTGTGTGTGTGAGAGAGGGGGGGCGGGAGGGAGAGAGAGAGAAAGAGAGAGAGAGAGATTATAGTAGTTTAAAACATATATGAATTATTCAGGTTTTCATGTAAATATGCCAAAAAGGATAGGAGAAATTGTTTGAGGCCAAGCTAACTCAATTCACTTGAGTAATGTGAATTTCAAAGCACTAGAGTTAAATCTAAATAAGGCAGTGACTTTCATGATGACAGTTAAATATGAGCCAATGATGAGCAAGTAAATCAAGAATTCTGTCGATAATTTCTATCTCTAGAAATGCAGAACTAGCATATAAGCATTTTATGGATTTCTCATAAATAACTTAATTGCATTATTACTTGTGGATATATTAAAGTGCTTATTAGAAAATCAGGTGATTTATGTGGATAACCATAATATTGTAATTTGGTACCATTTTGTCCCTAATCAAAATTTAACTTTATGATATTAAGCTTACAGGAATTTCGTATTTTTGTGTGTGTACTATGTAGGCTCAGAAAAAAGCCAAGGGATGATTGCACTAGCAATAAGTCCCAATCGACGCTATCTGGCCATTTCAGAGACACTTCAAGATAAACCAGCTATCACAATTTATGAACTGTCATCTGTCCCATGCAAGAAGCGGAAGATTCTGAATATCTTTGATTTTACTGTGCAGGAATTTATCAGCCTGGCTTTTTCTCCTGATTCCAAATATCTAGTGGCACAGGCAGGACCTCCTGAATCACAGCTTGCCTATTGGATGTGGGAAAAACAAAGAACAATGGCAATTATTAGGGTTGATATTCAGAATAATCCTCTTTATCAAGTAAGTTGAAGATGAGTAATATCTTGGGAACAATTAAGTGTCAGTAATTATGTTGGCCCTCTGGATACAGTATTGAAAAAATCTTATTGTACTGATAGCTTCAGTGTGCAATTCCAGTTATCTTTATTCTGTATTTGTCTTGATAAATCCACAAATGTAGAAATTTCAATAGTTTGTATAACAATCTAAACATGGTATTGTTTTTATTGTAAGGTCCTAATCCAAAAATTCTTGCTTGTGTTTTGGAGACATGGCTGTCAATTTAACTAGATTATCTCGAAGATATCTTCCAGCCCTTACATGATATAATTCTTTGACTAATAGTGCTCACAATTAAAATGAGATTTTTATTTGAGTTTATGGAACCAGAATTATGTAACTATAAAGGAGTGTACGATAAATATCATACCGCTTATCCTAAATTTCCAATATACCAATCTATTAATTACTATAGTTTTTTTTTCATTCTGTGATGATTGTATTGTATTGTATTTTATTTTATTATTTGTATGCCGCCCTTCTCCGGGAGGACTCAGGGCGATGAACAATTCAAGGGGGAAAAATGGGAACATAAAAAGACAAAAT